GAGAGAGAGAGAGAGAGAGAGAGAAAAAAGGCGAGAATGAGTAAAAACCTGCCGTTTTATTTGCCTGTGGGTTGCGTGGCCCATGACGACGACGAATTCGTTGTCGACGGCGACGTTCAGATGTGCTAGAATGCCGGATTATCTTTACTGCATAGCAACCGCACACACTGAAGGGGAATTGGGAACTGAAACTGATCGACAAAACCGTCCAGGGGTAGCAAAACTCAGTTTAGCCTAGCGACCGCTTACGGTTATATTATATGAGATGGCCTTTGCGTGTCTATGGAGTGAGCTAAAACCGATAGAAAAAAGGACAGTTTAGTGATAATTCAAATCGTTACATTAGACAGTTACAACAGAGTTTGGGTCTGTCATATTTAGTAGCTTCAATCAAAAAAAAAGAGACAAATATTATAAACGTATGTATGTTCAAGGGTTCTTCTTTAGTAACTACTGTAGACTTTTGGTAATATAACACAGAGTGGCATTTATTAGTTATATTGATTAATTAGTAATTAGCCAGATTAATGTATCGTCAAACCCTATAACCCGTAATTTATAACACTGGTGATAACAAGACGTTTCATCAAACGCGTGAAGATATAGTAAAAAAGACTAATATGAAGTGGTCCTATTTTTTTGTCGTTACTGTAGCATCTTCCGGCAGACGGTACGAATTTAATTTGCAGATGCTGTAGAAGATCTTGTTTCTTCCTTTTCAGATGCTCAATATTGAAGATTTTTTTGTTTCAAGTCCTTGCTTTATCTGAGGTTAATTCAAGGGATCGTGAGTACCAGAAAGTTTAGTACAGAAAAAAAAAATTAAATAAAGCAGGTTTTTTTCTTTAAAAAGCTAAACAAAACAGGCAGATGTTGTTTAACTACCGGACCAAATAGGAAGGTTCCCTATTACTACAACTAAAAAGCAGCGGTCTGCTATATATAAGTATGAGTACAGCTTGTTTTTTTGATTCGCTGTGTACGGCCCGTGTTAATTTGCTTAATTGGGTATAATTCATGTCATTTAAGCATTGCCCAACTACCTTGCGGACGGAATTTATTTATTAAATAGTCGTAATAAATAGCCTTTTACCTGGTTTAGGTCAATTAAGTGCAGAATACGCCTTCGCAGCATCAGTATGTTAGTAATCGGTTTCTGAGGAGTTATAATGAATTAAATTTTTTACGTTTTTTTTAAACGTTTTTAATCAAACTTCTTCAGCTCATTCCTTAACTAGCACTCTACTACCTACGTATAGACTTAAAAACGTACAGACAAACGGACGAGTCGCCACACTATGCGATGTCAATTGTGTGTTTTAAGCACTATTGTCAGTCCATCTCCAAGGTTCTTACAGGTTTGACTGTTTAAGTCATCACGCCCACGTCGCCAGTCGTGGTATGTTGAAGACACCGTTGACTACTGACTCAGTGACAACTAGTGACTTGTAAAATCCAATAGTACTAAACTCATGAATTCTGTGACGGCCTGAGGGAAACCTCGGCCTTCTCCGCAACTAGTCATCTCTATAGGAAATGTGTCTTCTAACTTTGTAAAAAAGACAAGCAAGTTATTAGCAGCAGCTGCCACTTATTTATAATTACCCGGGAAATAGATATATTTCTAGATTCGTATAACTGCTTTTATTGATCTGACGCTTGTGGCTGATAGCCTAACCACAGACGTACACGCACGTAAATAAACGGAAAGATAAACAAGCGAACGCGAATATTTGCCTTCACTGCCGCCAGCAGAATAATAATCCTGCTGGCGGCAGTACGTCGCGTCATGGTACGAATTATAAATGTTGAAACTCGTTCACGATATTTCGGCTGTCGTCGATATCTCCAACAGATGACGGCTTTGTTACCGTAAGCCAAGTGTTAAGGGCGGAAATATGTATGCCGTATAGAGCCGGTGTCTGATGTTTGAACGGAAAAATGTAGGAGTGGATCACTTTTAGAATAGCTGTACTGTAATATTGGTTTCTTTTAGATAAAACTTTGGATGGTGTTTGGAGTCTGAATTTTAGCGGGATTTTAGACACCTGAAAAAACCTAACATTTCCTTCGACGCTTCATTCGGTACCAGCAGCGACGACAGTTGAACTGTGTAATAGGGCAAAGCGAACAAATCGCTAACTAAGATAATGTAACAAGTGATAACCAGTACTGCTGATAATCAGATGAGAAACGAATATCAGAGCTCTTATCTTGCTGGCAAAACACGCTCGCTTCAAGCTCATAAGGTACCCACGAAATACCCATTTTCCAAACAATTTATATACGTTGTGCGACTACTATTAAATATATCATGTATGGTTTATCCTTATATATTGTTATTAAATGTGCGATACAAGTTTTCTTAGGCATATTTTGTAATCCAAAAATCTTACATATATAAAATCATAGGAGAGTTGCAAAGCTCATTTCCTCTAGCTGCAGTTACACTCCGGAGGTGACCCGATATTCTTTCAGATACGCGCGACGTTAAGTAAACTAAATCGACCTATGTGACCAGAATATTACTACTGACCTAGGTTACTGTTTATGCCAAATGGGCTTAAACAAGCAATGAAGCTGCTTAGCCACATATGCTCCGCTTTGCAGTAACGTATCTGTGACTTACTACGCCTAACAGCAGGTTACTCCAGTCCACAGGACATCATCCGTCCTACAGGTGCAGGCTGTACGTACGCTAAATTATGTAATTATATGATGGGGAATTATCACCCTCTTGCACTCCTTCTATCTCTGGCTGTTATCACAAAAATCTGACACTAGCTAAGACTGACAAATAAATGTATTCAGTGTAAAGGACAACTGATTCAATCACAGACAAACAATGGATGAACAAGTATATGGAATAACAGTACGATGTAGTGTCGTAAACTCTATAATAGAAAAGCGGTAAAGACAACGTAAAACAGGAGTGGTCAAGCTGTGTAAATCTGAATAGGCAAGCCGGAATAACAATGATAATGTCTGAGTGTGACCGCTGTTATCTAAGGTAGCGAGAGTCACAGTATAGGCTAACAGCACCCTGGCGACTCAGAATGAGCACTCAGCGGCACTGCTACTAGTGCTTCCGCTCACGCATTCAACAGTGAGAGTGCCTTTGCTACAGACGGTCATACCATCACTCCTATTACCATTACCTCTGACTCACATTGCCGATGGCCTTTTTACCTTCCGGCTCTTCGTCGTCGTCGTCGTCGTCGTCGCCGCCGCTCTTCTCGCTCATCGAAGCTTCGTCTTACGTCATCGATGGCCTTAGTTAGTATACAGCCGTAGGCAGTACATTCATAGAACGTCTGGTATAGATTTTAGATACACGGTGCGTACGTTCTGCTATTATTGCTACTACTTAGACGTATTGTAAGCAAGGCAACGACGTCAGAGATAGATCAAAAGGCCATCCTCGCTACCCGGCCTGTCTGGTAAGTGCAAGCAATCCGAGAATAACGACTGTGCATACTGGCCCCTCAATAGTTAGTGACAACTGAGTGTCTCGACTTAACTGCGACAGAACAACCGCTTTTAACGGAGTGTTGCCACTAGCGCAGAAGCGTCAACGCAATGAGTGCGGCGGGCAAGTAGGCGTAACCTGAAGCCGGACTTGGAAACTTTAATTGAAAACTTTTATCCCGAGTGTCTGTGGAATATTTCTCAAGCACTGAAGAGGCGTTGGGTGCACTGTGGTGCCACTAGTTAAACCTCATTTTTGGATTCGCTGTTATGATTGCAATCTGGCCGTAACTATCAATAAATATGCCAAAAAAGTGTTAAAAGGTTGTCATTGTTTTGTTCGGTTACACCAAAAATCTACAGGCCTAGTGGGCGCTATGATGCACCTGGAGAAGGCGTTCACAGGCGAAAGAGGTTGCCGTTTACGGGTGCGACTTGTTAGCGTGCGTGCCGAAACTCTATTTGACATAAGCTGTTGTTCATGTTAATCAAGTGTACATTGAGTTACGTACTGTGGTAATGTAGTGCCTAAATAAGTGAATAGCTCAACCTGATAAAAAGAAAATGCAGTAGCTGATATTGTGCTAAGCTACCAGAAAACAAGAACATGGAGGCTTTGGTATATTCAGGATTAGAGGAGCCTGCCCATGGATCGCCCCAGCGAAGAAATTAGACCTGCAGGTGCTTTATAGGTGCTATGTCTTTTTGTGTATTTCTCATGCCGGAGTGCATGGTTCGAACAGAACCTTTAAGTAAGGCAGCGAGAGGTATGCATGAATGCGGGCATTACTGCAACTATATAGAACTATATAGAAGAACACACCTCAAGAAACAGCATTACGAATCTGGCGAAACTTTTATTTTTGGGCTAGCTATAGGGATAACTAAATTAATATATATATGGTCTAAACTGTAGTCTTACTCACTGCGATAGACGCGGTTAGAGTTGGTCTTTTTCTTAACATAGGGGAATTAAGAGATTCTTGGAGTAGTCGCCGAACTTAAATTTGGTCCTTCAGAAAGCATATAGTGATTTTATTCTTGTATTGAAACCTAAACTACCTTTTAGGTTTAGTAATAGGCTTTCGGTCAGCGAAACTTGGAATCATCCGGCGACCGATGTCATGTGTATAGCCGAGGAGGAAGATTGTTGTATTCAAACCGATTAAGCGTAGACTCCACAAGCGATAATACTCACAGCGGAAAAATAGCTGGGAACCAGGTATCAGTCGTATTGATAATAAGCATGTCTACGACCTATGGCGATGTCGTAGAGTTTAGAGCCTTATGGTTTTCAATTTACCACATATAGACTGTCATGTACCTGGATATGCTAGAATCTTAAAAAAAACCTATTTATTGCGATTAGGTAATGCCATTACGAATCAATAGGTTATCTCGATTATACGAGACTTTCGAAATCCTATTTTATTTTTCTTAACATTTACCTTGTATCTGCACCTCTGAAAGCTTCTGTCCTAAATTTACATAAGCAGACGTTAACAGTAGACCCACCAGCGTCCGAACGGTGTGCGAACAAACCTCTGTTCTCTACATGGCAGGTAACGTTAGTGAAAGAAGGCATCCTTTCACGGTGTTCTAAACAGCCCACTTCCGGAAATGAAAATTTTCAGCCAAAAATAGCCCTTCTGAACGTATGGGTACGTTCTACTCCATCGTGTTACTGCGACGGCGGGCGATGACAAAAGAAGCCAACAGCCTCAACATATTGAGCGAGACAGATAGTTGTCATTTTGTCCGCTACGTTTGTAGCCGCTGGCGAAGCTGTTTGCTGTTGTGTGCGAAACGGTAAACACGGCGTATGCTCGTAGACGACGCAGGCGTATGCAGTGGTAAATAGCAGTACCCTATGGGAGCGATCCTTTCCGCTCATTTGGGCACTTAGCGACTTGGTGGAAGCAGCAATAAAAGAATCACGTATGGTCCCAGACTACGGAAGAAGCCTCAAAAACCATTCCCTCTAGAAGATGACGATGTCGGTCGATGCTGGTATCTAAGCGTTGACCAGCACTAGAAGAAAGGGTGGCCGGCATGTACGCAGGCCCTGTGGCTGCTTAGCATACGAGAGAAAGATGTGAACGTACGGTTTACATTTAAAAAGAGCTGTGCTGGAAAGGGCAGGTTTCAATATGGCTCGTATTCTGACCCGACTCTTAAGCAATTTACATCCCCTTTTAACCTTCTGTTCACGCCAGCAAAGGGAATCTTTGTTCATTTGCTAAATAGAAAGGAATAACGAGCGATATGAATCGTTGCCTGCCTTTTTCTATGTTATACGGTAACCACTACAATTTGATAGTAACTGCTTTACGCTTATCGCCAACCTATATTGTTTCGTATGTGCCTTTTGTCTGATAGCACTTTATTAATTTTTTTCTTGTTATTTTTTTTTATTTTATTTAGAATCTATTTTATTTAGAAGGAGTTTAGAAAAAAAAATTGCGTCTTCTAATCCAGAACAATTCCCTTTTTTCAGGTAAGTTTATGCCGGCTACATTCAAGCTAATCTCACCTTTGGATGCTTATGGTAGCGCCGTGTTATTCGGACCGAGGTTCATGCAAGTTTTTGTTGAATAGTTTCTCGTTAACTGTAATGATAACTGTTGAACAAGTATAATTAGTGTGCTATTTAAGGTTTTCATTAGGTTGTTATTATAATGTGGTAATATACGTATGCTTGTGTTAGAAGTCATCCTGTTCACCTATTGGTTGGAATAAGGCTTTCTTCGACCATATATAATATTTAGGAGAACTAATGGCTGATTTGTAAAGTCGGGACTCAAACATTGCTGCCTGTTTGTTTATTATTAGTAGTCCTATTAGAACGAAGTTACTCAACGAAATGGAAGTGTTGAGAACAAGGGAGGCGCCTGAACCAGCTGCTACATTCACAGTAAAGTAATTTTAAAGCTGAAGTAAAACTGATCAATACAGAACTGTGTAATGAAGGCTCACATTAGGCTCTGCTTAAATATAAAACGCTTGTCAGCTCTTAATTCCTCTACAATCGCATACATTTTGTGCACTAATAACAATGCGAGTGGCTATTTTTTTCAACTAGATTGCGCCAATGTCCAATTCAATTAATTAAGACTGTGACACGGTTCATATAATGCTTCTAACTTTCTTGTAACAGGCCAAGCTTTGATCCGGCTGCGTCTTTCCGCAGCTAAACGCCTGTGCCAAAAACTTGACAGGCTTCTAAAATAATGGAAAATTTCTCTTCGTTTTTTAGCATCATAACGAGAAAAGAGTTGATCCTTACGAATTGTAGTCTGTTTCGAAGGAGACAGGTAGCGCTTCATATGTGGTTGCGTTGTAGCAATGCGAAATAAGGCCAGATGAACCAACTAGCACCTGGTCACATGATGCCCGCAACAGAATTTTCTCCAGCATACACGGCTAGAAAAGAGCCGATGCATTTTCTTAGCGGTTGTTTGCGTTGGAAGCGGTTTCCAATTCAATGAAACCAAAAAACGGAACACATTAACAAGCACCCTATTTGTTCGGCTGGCTAGCAGAAAGGGCAGTTATGAAGTAAGACGCAGAAGCGGACTTCATTCCACCATAGGTACACCTCGTACAGGCATGCTGGTCAAAAACAGTCGATGAGCAAGATATCGAACTGATTTCCCAGTGATTATTACATTATATGACGTTTATCGAAGCTTGCCAAAAAGCTCTGTATATAGAGACCCTGGCAGACGTAATCAGGTTATCTACAAATTTTACTCGCTTATTTTTCTCATATATACGCCATAGCAGCTTAACATTAGTTTCATTAAACAAACCATTTTCTCGATAGTTAATAGGTAGAAAATAGATTATTACTAATTATCTTCACCATTAACTAGGCACTGCTAGCTATTAGCGGCCGTTTCTCATGCTACCTTGATCGCATAACGAACCAGTTTTCCTATGTGCTTGTGCGTATCAGTCAATTTCATTGTTAAGCAGGTGCTTGGCGGGTGTGCAGAGACCGCGGCAAAACGTTTCGCTACGATTGCGTAACCGACGACGGTAGGCAAGCGCACGCCCTATGTCCTAATCGGCTCTATTGTCATACCAGAGTACTTAGGAGCAGTCACGTGATGCATTGGGCACTTAGTCCCTATCCTAATATACGACGAATACCTACGTAATATTGCACGACTCATTGCAATCTGGCCACAGGGTCATCGAGTGGTTTTACTGGACCGGTTGAGCCTGGATTTGGAGGTGACCTATCCCTCTGCTAGCAGTGCTAACTCCTTGCGATCGATAGCTGGCTACTCTACACTCGAGCATTGAACGTTCTGCAAGTCCGCTAACGAAATTCGTAGAGGATTTAATGGCGCCATGCGCCCGACAACTACACACAAAGCGAGGGACAGACCTGTGCCCAGCACATGCATCTGGTGAATTCGTGTGAAGAATACCGCAGTGTATCCTTTTTCCTGTCGACGAACATATTCTACCGGGTTGCGTTTTAGTCATTTTGAAATACAAGCTTAACCTTGCTCGCATTTTATAGTAAATGCCGGAATATATACATGTGACTTTCTGCATGTCTCCTTAGAATTTATCTTCACATGAATACTTCATTCTTCAGTGAATTATTGCTGCATCCGATCTTGACAGGTACAGGTGTTAGGCATTTCTTTCCAATGCATTGTTTTCGTTCTTATGCTGTTCTCTTGAATAAACTATCGCCGTTTGGCCGATTGCTCTAATTGAATTATCCAAATGCCACGTACTGCTTTCCGTATCGTGAAAACATTTCGTAGCTCTTAGCGGGTGCACAGTCTTCAATTAACAGAATACCGACCCGCACGTCGAACCTCGATTAAATCAGGCTAAAGAGTGCCCACGTTCTGTCGGCTGCAGTCAGGGTTGCATGTCAGTCCAATGTCGGTTAGAGGTCATAAATAAAGGGAAATGTACATAAAGTAACCCGTATAATTGTTTATGCGCTCAAAGCACTTGAATATCCGTCGTAATTATATGACGCACGCAATCAGACACGCTAATAAGATAAAAAAAAAACAATGTTTGTATATATAGGGTCCCTAAACTAAGAAATCTTCTTATGCTTTAAGAGTGGATCTAAGTAAAAAAAAAAAAAAAGGTATTTCAACGAAGTGTTTTTACAGATGTTAGAAGCGACAGTCATGTACAATATAACCATCATTCATTGGGATTACAGTTTGAATTTGGCATATAAGCCATTAACAACTTATTCTCAAAATAGTCGTTCTTTAATCAGCGGGTACCTTTTTATCATGTGTATCATACATCAAATAATATCAGTAAAAGTAAGCTTCCTAAGGGGTCGAATACGCCGTATACAAAAAGTTCCAATTGTATTAAATTTTATGCTGATAATACCCTAAAGTCCAGAAATTGTAAGAGCTCAAAAAGGCCGAGCAGTTCCAACAAAGACTAACCATTGAAGTTTATCTGGACAACTTAATTGGCAATCGATATGGCCCCTCTAAAATGGCCCTTGACCTCTGTAGCGAAGACCTAATTTTATTAAAAAAAAATGTTTCTTTTTAGGCCATCTCGATGAATTATCGAGCCTTTCAAATCTAAACCCTATTGAGTTTACATTATAAATGACACCTTCTTCGGTGTCCACAGAAGCTACTTGAAGATTGCCAATAACGAAGAAAAAAGCCATCTTGGGGAGCTCTGTTGAGCGCAATAGCTGATGTTTACTATATTCCAAAAATGACTCACTGTTGCTCGCCATAGTGAATCTGCGGTTCTCTTCTAAAAACACTGACTTTTTTTTATACCAAAACAAGGCAGATGAATGCATGCACGAGCCCACCAAATCAAACAATATTTTTTGTTTACTCGAATTTGAATGTCTACCCTGTACATATCTAGTTTTTTTGTTTTACATTTCCTCGTAGTATATACTGCGACCAAATCTCCCCCTAGGACAAAAACTGGTTATCAGTCACAGCTGCCCTTTTGACATGCACAGTAAGGCTATACAGCTACACATTACATAATAAGGGTAGATTTTAAATAACAATCGAGTTAGTCGTAGAACGAGCTGGCTAATTACCTCAAGATTCACAGACGACCCAGCTAAGGTAACTCGTTTGGAGACTATGTAAATGGTTTGCCCCTATCGACTAACAAAAAGTCAAACCAGTCGGGGCAGTTTGTGTTTGGTCATTCGCAATATAAAGCTATAAATGGGACCGTTGTTTGTTTTATTGTTTATTATATATTGTTGTTTTATTTAGCTCAGTTTATCCACTTTAGCTGGTGGACGCATTGGACTGACCGATAACTAATTAATGGACAGTTTAGGGCCAGCTAGAGGTCGAGCGTACTGTTGTAGTCTTCTCTGTAGAGAAGAGCTGCGCTATCCTGAGAATTGACTCATCTACTTCACTTTTCAGCTCGGCTCGTCACATACCGAGTATTCAAGATGAATGTAAAATCCAACCACAGGTTCTTGGAGTAGTAAATACAAAATCTCATGGGTCCGAATGCGCTCGTAAAAGTATGAGCCTGTACCTGAGATAGACCTTCCTCGTAGACATATTATACATGCGAAAGAATGAATGTATGGACGAGTAGATAATGCTTTTAAATCACTCCCAGTCGATAAGCGCGAAGGCAGACTGAGAGTCGAATCAATATGATCCGCCTATGCACCCCGACTTGTGATCTATAACGAAACATATACCCCATATTTTGTGTATTTGATTGTACAAATTCACTTGTTGGAGACGTCAGTGTTCAATTAGCACTTCTTCCATGATCCCATTTGGTCGAACTTGTTGAATCGTTTAGTCAGGTCGAGTATCAGCCGACAAGGCCATCCGCTAAAGGGTCCTCCAACAAGACACTTTCTCCTGCCAATCTTTCGTCATGTGCCCTCTTGCATCTTTCGTTCCATGTCCTGGGTTGTGCAAAAACCTTTTCGCTAGGTCTCATAACAGCTACAAATATCGGGAGCGCTATTCTGTTCGTGTTTGTTTTGCATACATACGTTTGACTTCAATTTGCGTTGCCCTAGCAAAATTCTGTTCGAACATTAATTGTATATTAAATTGGATTATTTCTCAGCTGATAATGTCTGCTCTGCCAATCACCAAGTTTGCAATCATGAACGCTTTGATCACGGTACTTTTTCTCTAACTGTGCATTCATCGATTCTGTAACAGCAGTATTCGGACACGTAGGATATTTTCTATAGCCGAGTTCCAACTAGCCTTCTACTACAACTAGCGAATATGATGCTTTCAGGACCAGTTAAGATAAAGGTTCAATAAGAGCACTAAGGAGACGTCGAGCATTTGATGGAATTACGACGCTCATCGTTCCTCCGTCAACGTAAGCGTGTTAGGCTTTGATTTGAATTTAGGCCACCCCCGTGCTCCTCTGTTGAGTAGGCAAACATGTTGACGCGGCACATCTTAGGGACGGCTTTTGTATCTATTCTGAGTGACTAAAGTTAAGGTTGTGTGTAAAATTACCCTGAGAAATCATCGCTAATGAAACACAGTTGTCGTCTGTATGTCTTTGCTAGAGTTTGGCTCAGTTTGTTAATTCATATGTGAATGTATAATAAGAGGTTATATATTCTTTCGACATGGAAATAGAAATCGAGCTGAATTATCTCGGTAACTATGCACCGTCAGAAATAACGCATATTGGTAAGCAAGACAGCATGCTTTGGACAAAGCTTGTTGAGTGAATGATTTATCAGTCTTTTAAGTCGCCACTTTTATATAATAATGTTTTTGTTATCTATTCTGTGTTCTTCCTATGGCTGCTATCATTTCGAGTAGAATAAAAAAACCACGTGCTAAGTCCTTTACTAAGCGATGATGTTCGAGCCTTAACGCAAGGCGCACAGTTTTATAGCGCAGGGCGGCAAAAACCTCGCCGGCAATCATATTATCGCTTTCGTCACGGAGGCCATAAGTCGATCTAGTACGTTATCTGTTGTTGAAGCGAACGGCTCAGGCCAAAGATTTGAGTCCTGCTACACGATACATGGTATGTAGCCTCTGCAAAGAACTACACTGCCACATCGGGGTTAAGAGGTAGCGACTATTTAAAAAAACACACAAGTATGCATACAGCGAGCGAACTGGCTTGAACGCAAAAACCTTTTTGCTACAAATATTTGCACAGCTAATACCTCTGACGCCTTGGGACGCCCCTAATTTGGCTCTCTCATAACCTGTCTGCGTA